TCCTAATGGATTTCGCATAACGATGCTATTTCTTGTATTAGAAGCAACTACTACGAAGAACAACAACAAGGAGAGCACTCTCTACACAACGCGCCACCATTACAGTTTGTGCCACAAGTGGTTACACAGCACATGAAAGATCCGGGGTTAAGCGTATGCCGGCTTCAAGAACGGGTGATTTATGTTGCTCAAAGGCTAATGACAAGATGGTAAATAACCAAAAAGAAACGCAGGAAAACCTGTCCCGGAACGCGCCTATATGGACCCCATGCTTGATAGCATGAAACGAAGAATGGGCGTTGTCGGACGACTTCTCACTCGTTAGTGACAGCCCTTTACCTCACTCTCACCATTCGAAATTGAGAGCTAGTAGCGGAACAACCGCATCATGGCACTTGAAAAGAAGGTTGGACGTTGCCATGGCCAGTGGGTGGAGTAGCGGCTTCGCCGCAAGCGGGTCGCGCTTTCCTCACGCCTTTTTGAGCTGGCAATGTGGTAGATCCTCCGCGTTCGGGCAGAACTGCCATGTTGAAAAAAAAGGTGTCTACGCACCCAGTGAATGCGAGCCGTGCATAGTCGTCCGATAGCGGAAATCAACCGCCACCGAAAGGGCCTTGTTGAGGACCTTTTGACCCCACTCCTCCGCAATCAGGCCGGTTTTTTACCGACTTTTCCTAGGAATGCAGATTTGGCTGAAAATTTGCTACTGGGGTAGTTTGACCTCCTGAACACGAATATCACATCCGCTTAACTCCGAAACTGCCTGGCGCCCGCGCCACAGGACCCTATTATGGAGTTTTTTTATCGATTTTGGGGAAAAACGGTGTGGCGCCAAGTTAGCACCTAGTGGCGCCAGCGTCAAAAGTAAATGCCATGTTCGTGATCAGGATGTCAACTAACATCCGTATAGAAGTTTTCATCAAATCTGGTGAGAAAAGGTGGCGACTGTTGGCGTCTATTGACACCGAATGGCACCATCGCCAAAAATGAATATCACATTCGGAGTTTCAGCAACAAAAATTTTTTTGAGTTTTTGGGAGTAGGAATAGTTCAATAGTGCCGACCTTTTAGACAAATTTTTCCTTTCAAGACTAAATTTTTCGCCTTGGAGGTCTTTGGCGCTTGCAGTCAAACGTGAACAACTCTGCATACGATCTGCGATCGCGAAATGTGCATGTGGCTTACCATTAGTTATCTAGGCACAATCGCCACTAATATGTAGAATTTAAATGGCTAGCAGTAGCAGCGGTCCACTTTTACATCAATTTGAATTGCTATAAATCAACACGAACCTTTGGATAAGTTTTCGTAAACCGTTGCGCGGTGTATGAGAAGATTGGGCTGCCTCCCTCGAAGACAGCAGCAATCTTATTTTCGGAAAGTGATGGCGTGCCATCCATGGGATCTGAAGTACATCAAGACATCAAGATGGGGAGGAATCTAACGATAAGAACACCAACATTAACTTGGTTATTAGTAACTAACGAGTTTTGACATCTGCATGTATATTATGCGATAGCTTAACAGCACGCAGCGAAATAAGGTCTGAGAAAGCCGGATCAAGCGGAATTACTGGTGCCTGAAATAAATGTAGTAAAAAATGGAAATATACCGTACTGCCACTCTGGGGATAATTTGCTGGGGATGAAAACGAAGAACACTTCAAAATTGTAAGGGTTAGCTCACTCTTAAACGTGAGATAAGAGCTTTATGCTCATACGTGTTACGTGTTTCGCCTTTAACTCAATAGGCGTGTAAAAAGAACCACACAGGAAAACCGCTCAACCCGTTGAAGCAGCTTCAAACGGAACCAATGAAGCTTCGAGGGTAAAAGCAACTCGGTTAACGAGTATGAAACTCCACTCTAACTACTGGAACCAACCACAACTGCGAAAACTGCTTTCAATTGAGCAGCCAAACCGGGCTCCTGCAACAACACTGAAACGAAAGCAATCAAAAGAAACGGAGAAGAATTTCGATGCTAAGTCATTCACATAAAAAATGACATAAGATTGTTCATCGGAAATTCGTCTTGTTTCCTCTAATGCCCCCGAGTACCTACCTACCCCCTCTCATATCATATGGGCATAGCACAGCGTTGTTTTGGTACTAGTGTAACGACTTTTGTCACCTGGTTTGAATATAGAAAAGCTACATGAAATGTGCCATTGGCCAAGCTCTTCTGCATTCTTACCTTCTTTTTAGATGGTAACTCCTCCTCATCGTCGTCATCCTTGTCATCGTGTGGCCCTCCACCCAACTTTTTACCTCTCAACAAAATCTTGTTTTTCAGTGCATTCGGGCTCGGCAAGGGAACTTTTGCGGAATTTGGAGGTGATGTGTAGAGCATGTTACCCAGTACCTGCAATGAACACTAGAGGTGGGACGAAAAAAAATATGTCACAGAGTGGGAACTCTCAAGTATACGTCTCTCTTAAGCCTGCCGTCCTTTCAAGTAAAGGGTTCTCTTAGCAAACGTTCAAACTGGAAAGTTGAATTTGAGCGATTTCCTGATGAAAGTTCACTCGTGATAAGACCAGTATATATATTATTACTCATCTATATATAGTGTAAGATGTGTCGGCCACGGTGTAAATTGTGTCGCGACAAAAAGGGGCAGAGTTGTCTGGGGGCAGGGCATGTAATGTAATGTGGCGTGTGCAGAAAATGTGTGTGATGGGCTCTTCGCGCAAAACTGGCAAGCTGCTTCGAGGAAAAATTATAAGCAAGCACGTATAATATTATTACACGGCACGTGCACGTCGTACGTTAACGATGCCGAACGGGGGTCGTATTTAGTCACTGGGAGCCACCAGGACTGCATTTGCCTGGAGAGTTTGTTCAGATTAGCGACTTTTCCCATTTCAAGGGCGCTATACCGCCTCCCCTTTCCAGGTCGACCGGCGCGCAAAGCTACTATTCCTGATAGTTGACCACAGGTGTCTACCCCACCACTTTCCACCCCTCCTCGACGCGACGTTCTGGGGGAGCTTGGTAAGTATGACTTTCTGGAAGAGTTTATTAAGATGACCTATCGGTTTAGCAACGAGACCGGAAGGGGTGGTACAGGAGGACAAAATTGGGAAGATCGTATTAGGTGACTGTTCTCCCCAACTTCAGGACGTGTTCTGACCACAATGTTGCTAATCCAGCATCACTCCCACAACCCCTTGCATGAAATAGAATGACTATTCAGTGTTTCCTGATGTGAGCTAGACTTGTCTTTTAGGGCTATCAAAGTTGAGACGACGTAGGGAACTCACAATCTTTGAACTTACACAAACTGCATTCAACGTTGAAAGCAAACCTCTTGGAAGACATCCACCATGACCCTTTGTTGCACTAGACCAACATGATTCTCAACGGTCAGGAATCACTGGATATGGAGTGGTTTCAAATGCACAACGCTGTAACAACGAACTTGTACAAGTGACAGTAATCCGATGCTCGTCTATAATCTTAGTTCCACGACTGCATATTTTTTTCCTACTACAGC